CATGGGCTCTTCGATGGCGAGACCTTTATTTCCACCCCGACTATATTGTTGGGTTTACAGACAACGATGAAGACGAAGATATTGATGCCTTACAGTTGTCTGTCGTGCTCGAAAGACTTGCATACTTTAGAGGAGAAGGGCAGAGGCTACAGAAGATGAGCATGTATATTGGTGGCCCTGCCTTCGCAACACCAGCGCGCTTGAAACTTCTAAGGCTCAGCGGCCATCATGAGATTACACGTCTCTGTCGATCCATTCATGCGTCTTCGCCAGAAGCAGACGCAGACGCCAGTACTGGCCTCGTAGGATCCGACGAGAGTAAGCTGCTCCGTAGGCGGCTGCAAGTGATGGCGTGCGCGTTATCTGATCTGACTTGTCTTGTCTGCAGTGTGTCTGATAATGACGAAATGCCAGGCTGCATGGAGACCGCAGCGAAGCTCGTCTTTTTCTTTCTCACTGGTGCTACCAAACTCCAACGATTGAGCCTAGCATTCGGAAGACTTGTTGATGGCTATCTTCAACCAACGTACGGGAGCCGAGAGAGAGCAGGCGAAAGGCTCCATGGCGCTACTTTCACATCTTATTCGTCACTCGCGTCGGAATCAGATCTGCAACATCGAACTGGAGATAGCGACCGATCGGAATACATTGATGGGTTTTCTGCTTGTGCACAAGGATACGCTTCGCCGTCTCACACTCGTACGCACGTCTCTCGTACGACTGGGAGACTATCAAAACACGTGGGAGCCAACTCTTACAGAAATTGGGCAACGCCTTTGCCTAGAGTTCCTCAGTCTCTCGACCCTCTGTGACACTATACAAGACTGGGCGCCAGGTGTTTGTAGACGCATGCTGTTCGATATAAAGGATGACGTATGGCAAAGCAAAGAAAGCGAGTTTGAAGCATACCACAGCGCAGTAGTCGCGCGCGTACTTCGAGGGGAAGTAATCGATTCGCTCTAGACGCATACTGCGGAGGCATGATTACAAAGTTAGTTAATATAGTTCTATGGCGATCCTCGCGCCTAAAGAAGGTACTTCCACACAATATGCTAAACCGAACTATGGTCCCGTGTGAACAATGGTCGGATAGCGCGTTTTACCTCAGCCCATCTATCTACCACTTCACCGTAGTAAATACCGCTAGTCACATCAAGGAGGCGTTCTTCATGCATGCGCTGTACACTGTCTGTTGGGGATCCTCATGTCGTATAGCCTCCTGCGTACCCCGCAGCTGGACATAAGCTCCTACATATGAAGACGGGGCCCTTACGACAACGTTGTTCGAAGCACAACACCCTAGATACTGTGGAATTGCTGGAGAAGTAGGCGCTTCCATCCTTTTGGCATCTTTCAATAACCTTCCTCTGGCCTCGGACGCTAGATATTTCCCATTTAGTTTCCCAAAATTCAATCCAGTAACACTCTAGCCATGAACCCAGACCTAGAGGAGATGATGCGCAGCACCTTGCCACCTGAGGAAATCTCGGTGTCGGCGATCATCGCACAGTATCTGACAGAGAACAGTCAGATTTTCAAAGCACTGGCTAGTCTCCGATTGAAGGTATCTAGGGGCAAAAAATTATCAAATCCTTTACTTACGTGCCATTAGGGTTGGAATACCTCCGAGGGCGATCTGTTTTTCCAAGCTCGTCGTGCACAATCCGACAACGCCAATAGAACACAGAAGCGATTGCAAAGCTTCTTCAAAATGACATGTGAGATCGGACAAGAAATGGATGAGAATACATCAGTCATTACACTCGCAGCAGATGGGAATCAGTCCCCAAGAGTCCTGGATATCGGTATGGCCCCGGGTGGGTTCACCCAAACTGTGCTCCGTAAACATCGCGACGCCAGGATACGGGGCATCACATTGCCATCAGAGATGGGAGGTCTGCGAATTATGCTGCCAGGATGGAGGGACGATTTGAAGGTTCTTATAGAATTTGCCGATATCACGATGCTAGCAAACGAGATGGGACGGCCAGCAACATCCATACCGACTCAACACCCGGACATCGCAAAGTTCTCGTCAAAAAGACCGTTTCAGAACGAGACATTTGACCTTGTGTCCTGTGGCACGACAGGTGCAACGACTCGACGTGCGCATGCTGATGCCGAACATCATGAGTCGCATAAGAGGCTACGGTTAGCCACGAGCCAGTTAGTCCTCGCACTTCAGCGTCTACGCAATCAAGGGTCACTGGTCCTAGTCATGCACAAGCCAGAGTCATTCGATACCGCTGAGATCATCCACACCTTCACAAAGTGCTCAAGTGTGCGCCTTTTCAAGTCAAAAACGAAGCATGCAATCACTTCTTCCTTCTATATGGTGGCAATGGGGGTGGATACGCAGAGTGAAGAGATGCAATCAGCTGTTGTTAAATGGAAGAAACAATGGGAGGATGCAACGTTCCAGTCGGATGGAGCGCTCTCGACTTGTCCCCGCGCATCTGAAGATCAAGTTCGCGAGATGCTAGCAGACTTCGGACCACAGCTTATCGATCTTGCCACGCCACTTTGGAAGATCCAAGCTGATGCTCTCCGAGCTTCTCCGTTTCTCAAAGAGTCAAACAGCACGAGCGAAGCGAGGTCTGCAGCCGCCTCAACAATGCGCAATGGCACTCTTTAAGTCCGTCGTTCTTAGCCGGAAGTTGATGATGTGGGAGTGTAATGGAAAGGCACGAAGACTCGTGCTGCGTCTGTTAGGCGAACAGTGATGCTACGGCCGCAAAGGTTTCTTTTGCAACATCCGCCAACTGCTACATACCTTCTATCTTTGGTATCGCTGTTGTAAAAGCGTGATGTAATCTGAATGTGGTATGGAGGTCAAAGACCAGTCAGTCATCAGCTATCTTCGGCTGTCCGACATTTAGCATGCACGCCCCGCTTTCCCCCCGCTCCCGTGCTCACCTAATCCCCTGTCACAGGCCTGCTTTTCTTGTGAGAGCACTCACGACACGTTAAGAGAACCTTGGAACACATGCTAGTTATTGGCTTCGTGCAGCGCGATCATCCTCCGAGTCGCCTGTTAGAAACCCTAATAGGTTTAGGCAAAGGTCTTGTCCTGTTGGTGGACCGGCCCTGGTTCCGCGCTACGCCAGTCCTTAGGCGCCCGTTCTCCTCTTTGAGTGAGCCGTTCCTACTCCACTCACCGTTCGCGGTTATACGAGTAGTGGTTGCATATAGCGCTATATCCTGGCAAGCTCGGACTGCTGCATTGCAAGAGGTAGAATGAGGATGAGATATGAAACGCGGAGCCGTGAAGTCCTTCATTACTACATTGGTCACGACGAGTTGTAGACACCTGCTTGAATCCTGGACCGGAACTCCTGTTGTAGCCCATGCTTCTGTGAATGCTTCGGTGCTGATGTTTCGTGGAGTGGGAAGTATCAAAAGTTGGATTTTGCAGCCTTGTTCGAGCACACGCTAGAGATATATGCCCAACTGGACTCAACCCTAAATCCAGTTTGTGACGTTTTAGTTGGCTCGAATGCCTCTTAGTAGCTCGTGCCACTGAGGAGATCCCTATGCCTATTGACTCTTAGTACTAACGGTATCTTTCAGTATATGGTATAGTCCATCTAGAGTAAACGCCCCTTCGAACGATAATGTTATGGGTGTACTAGTGCTTGGCACGATCCACATAGCAATATAGCCCCGCTGGACGGGCACGAACAACCCACGCTTCAGCTGACTTCGTCGGCCTGCACGAGGCAGACCAATGACACACTGTATCGTGATGTGTCGTTGGCCCCCCAACAGGTGATTGGGTCGCACAGACACGGTCAACAGTCAGATGTCCGTTACCACGACTACCCCGCAGTTAACGTTATCTTCGCTAACCCATCGTCACCTTTGTTCAGACGATGTGTTCGCGCCCTCAAGAGTACGACCTTGTGTCTTGCTGGAACGGACACTGACATTGTCATTAGTGTTCTAAGCATCATCCTATCACCTGAAATGGCTGAAGTCGCTACGCCTCACAAGACTCCTGAATGGGCGATAAGAAAACGCAGAACGCAAGCACCAGCGATAGTTTTCAAGTGGAATGACTTGAAAGCCTTTACAGTTTGTCCCTTTCCTACTTGCCAAAGCGTGCACACTCATGGGTCTAACCGGGCGCCCGAAGGATATCCCAATAGCCGGCTTTCACATTGCGACAAGCTACAGCAAGAGTACCAACTAGTCTGGCCATTTGAAGCAAACAGTATTGCCGAAGAGCTTGAGTTGGGATTTGAATTGGATAGAGAGGCTGGTATGTGGAGAACAATTGGGGCCGATATCGAAGACCTTGAAACAGAAGAGGTCCTTGAGGAATCAGCGAAAGGACCTATTCAAGGTCATCCCAGTGAAGAGCATCTTCTGGAGCCACTGAATCGCTTGGCACTTGGCGAGGAAGCATACACGTGGTTTATATCCCACTGTGTCACTGGTGATATCGAACAAGCTGCACTTTGCTTAGAGAGCACGGATTCAGCCGAGATGTTTCTTCACAGAAAGGACTCTGACGGAAACACTGCGCTAGCTCTAGTCTGCATGGACGGTCACTATGATGTGGTCAAATTTCTAGTGGAACAAGGATCGCTGATTGACTCCAAGAACAAGAGTGGAGAGACCCCATTGATCATTTCACTGCGATACGGTCGGACTGAGGTCGCAACGTACCTCGCCTCGCATGGTGCCTCAATCTCGAGTTGTGACGGAGGTGGAGCTAGCGTACTCTCTCACGCCAAAGAACTTCTAGAGAAGCTAGAAGCTACCAGGATATACTGTCATACGCCATCCTTTCCAAACTGTAGCTTGCCTGCAAAACCAGAAGTTATCAAGGACACCGATGGAAACGTCCTGCTAAGATATCACGAAGATCCGAACACTTCTGTCGGTATAAAGTATCGGGAGCATCAGGAGAAAATCGATCGCGTACAGATCATAATTAATGCTTGCATCGTACACGAAGCTACACAGAAACGCATAAGGAAACATAAGCAGAACCGTGCGCGAAAATTCAATGCATCAGAGGTCTCCATTTCCCGATCTGTAGTCCAGACAATGGTGACTGTATTCCGTGATGCATACCAAATCCCAATGGCAGACAAGAGAAAATCTTTTGGATATCTTGAGCGTGGAAAAACATACAACCTTGTATTTGCAGTCAGCGGTTGGAGTGGAGGGGAGTTTGCAGATATCGATGGGTGTGTTGATCGAGAACTCTGGACGAAGAGAGTATTTGAATTCAGCAGAATCGTGGGCCACAACCTCAAACGACATGAATACGATCATCTTGGTCGGAAGGGTAGCTTTTATGCATGTCATGCTGAGAAGCAGCTAATGGCGTTCATTTTGTGGCACTATACTTCTTTGCAAGAAAAGCCAGCACGGCAAGCTCCCGAAGCAGAGTACGCAAGGTATGAGAGGATGACCAGACTGCACCAATGCATTCGTAACAGTACAAACTCTAGGGTCAAGTGCGCAGAGGATTGTCGGAGCTACTGTGGCCCGCCCGTGGAGGTTATTAGACCGGTCATACATGTTACGAATGCTGTCTGCCATGATTGTGCGAATTTTCAGATGCGGATTTTGGAATATACAGGTATCGATATAACTTTGGAAACGATGGGTTGAACTAGTACCTCTGATTCTGTCTATGCTGCTGTACATAAAGGTTGCGCCTTTTGCTTTTGATGACCGCTTTCTTGTTTTGCGATGAAGGGGCTAAGCCTCTCAGCGGATGCATGCCTTCAGCCATGGTGACGTGCACTATGGGACCCAAGTTACCCTCACAAATGACATGAATATATTTTGCATGCTTACGTTTCACTGTCGTACAGAAGTCAGGCGGTCCAGTCAGATACAAAAGACTTTTCTGGCTGGCCAAACCCCATTAGCGGGGTAAGCTGCCCGAGCCGTCTCACCAGGCTTCCATCTTTCACACACTAAATTCCATCATCAATTTAATGTACATAACATATCCAGAATGTCTTCATCATTCGGTTGTCGGCTCAAGACTAAGGATTATTGGCCGCATTTTCAGGATGCCGGAGCTCTCAACGCCTGGGTGATCGACTCAGATGGGGATGTCGAACGAGCTCGATCTCAAGGTGAGCGTTCCGGAATAATATTCCACTCCTTGAGCTTGCAACAATAACCTTAGCAGCGTTTCAGTTGCGGCGGGGAAAATACCCAAGCATCGAACTTCCGGAAATAATAGATGAGCAGCACGTGCAGGGCATGAGCAGCTTTCTCCAAGCCATTGGATATAGTAGTCACATCAATGCGGCTGATGCTGCCGGAGCACTGTAAATGTACCTACTAATTATTCGAGAGCGAGAGATTGCGTACCTAGAAGAGAGGACAAGGTTGGAATATGAGAAAGCAGGAATGCGGGTGAATATTGCTATATGGAATATGCATGTTCCTATAGATGGGAATCATTATTTTGAGCAGATTCTTGAGTCTGGATTACAGCCCATGGGGCGTGGAGGCGGCTTCAGAATTGTTGTGTTTCGTGGAAACGGACTCATAAAAAATAATGGGGCCTGCGGTTTTGACAATTGGCGTTGCAGTGGCAACCAAACAAAGGATGGCAACACTATTACTTTTCAGCCTATGTGAATTGATGATTCTTTTTATTCTTTTGGAATTCCATCATTAAGGAAAGTATAGAGGGTTCTCTTACCATCCTCGTTACCTAAATGATGTTGACTAGACCATACAATGTATTTAAGTCACTCTAGTGATTGATCCCCCTAACAAATAAACACAGTATAAGCCTCTATGGCAAATTCACCTCTGCTTATCCCCCATATTTATGCTAACCTGTCAAGGGCAATGACGGGACATGTACTATTAATACATTGATCTATTCATGATTCTTCTTTCACCAGCAACTTGAAATCTGTGATAATCCATGATGAAGAAATAGCGTGAGTCTTGGTGCCACACATGATTTAGATGAAAGCTCACATTATGACTGGTAATATCGGTAACGGGGGCCTAGATAAGTTTGTATTAGTTATTAGCAAACTTAGTATAAATCCATAGAACAAGAAAAAAAAGCCTGAAATTTACGTCTAGGAGGGACTGTGACTACGCATAAACCCTAGTTGTATTATAAAATGAGATCGTTATTACACCATTGGTATATAAAAAGTAGCCTATACTTAACTATGCCAATTATCAGGGCTGGCAAGTCTCAGCCTGCTGCGGATCGATCATGCATTTTTATCAATCAACTGTTGCCTATTACAATCGAAATATACCAAGAGGTACGATCAATCATCTCTTATCAATGATTATGCGTCTCAAATTATAGTTGGCGCATGCATCCTGCACAGCTAATTCGCATCTTCGCTTAGTTCAGGTATGGCTGTGGCGTGGTACGGACCTACGTGTCCTGCTCTTAACCAATCGAAGCCCCTCGCACAGCGGCGAATCTTAGCGATAGAGCTGTCAAAAATCAAGCCAGTCCAACTGGCCTGACCTATTGCAGTAGTCGTCAAGTTTGATCTTTGCCAACCCTACTTCACAGAACATCAAAAATGGATATTCAATGAGCAAAAGACCATTAACTTTTAGTAGCCACTATCTCACGTGCAAACAGTCTATTGTACTTGTTGATCTGTAAGCAAGCACAGTCTCAGTTTATGCCTATAGATGCGGAAAGCTCGTCACTTAGACTATCGGTTTCGTCTCATATCTGGCCACGTAGCATTGGTTCAACAGAACGAGAACAACAGCATATTCAGATACTCAAAACTCATCCTTCCGCTTCACCGAATCGATCAAAACAGTTTTCGCAGCAATGGACGTCTGCAAAGATCTCGATAACTTCGGCCGTATGTTGAAACAGCAGAAGTGCGTACTGCAGAACGCAAAACAAAAACAGGGACAATGCCCTCGAGACCGCAAGGGAAGAGAAGAGATGCTGTTAGAGTTCATGATGGCTTCGATGGCTACGTCAATGAAGCAAAGCAACCAAACACATATGGTACACTCGTCATTCGTTCGCGGAGCATACCCGCCTTGTACCGTCTCTGTCGACACTTTGAAGTCGTTATCAATTGGAAAACTTAGGCTCGAGACACATCATCGGGGTGCCTCTCTTCTCCTGCGCACTCTCACGGCGCCAAACCGTATGACAGGGATACTAGTGCTGGTAGAAGACCAAAACAGGGACGTCACCGTATTGCAGCTATACCGACAGAGAGATGAGCACAGCCGCGCAGCCTCAGATATTATTGGAGAAGGTTCGATTCTGATCATCAAGGAGCCATTCTTCAAAGTCATGGCATCTGGGGAATACGGTATACGCGTAGATCACGTTTCAGATGTCATGTTTCTTGACAAAGACGATCTAAAAGTACCCCAGACATGGCGACCACAACTATCTGAGATTGGAAAGTCAGCGGACGCTTTGAAGCTTGAGGGGAATACCCTTATGGGAAAAGGAAAGTACTGGAAAGCCATTCAAGTGTAAGCGAGATATGCCACAAAAGAGTGGCTGCGCTAATATACATTGACAGATACTCAAACAGTTTAGCGTCTTCACATAAGCTCAGCGAGATTGAAGTGATCAAGAGAAACAGGGCATTAGCATATCTCAAAACCCAGCAATACGACGCCGCACTTTCTGACACGGGCTTCCCAAACTTTGGCAAAGAGCCATCGGAGAAAACACTATTCCGTGCGGCAGAAGCGCTGTATCATCTCGCTCGATTCGAAGAATGCCGCAGAGTGCTCGAAACGCTTTGCAACAAGTTCCCGCATAATGAACAGGCGGTTGCTGTTCTCCGCCGTGCTCGTGGTCGGTGTACCGAGAGCAGCAGCGGGATTTTCGACTTCAAGCTACTTCAAGCGAAAGCAAAGAAGCATAGACCCCCACACATGGATTATGCTACGTACATGGGACCCGTGGAGGTACGAGAAACAAGGTCAAAGGGCCGCGGAGTATTTGCAACCAAGTCGATGAAAGTCGGGGATTTGATATTATGCGAAAAAGCATTTGCTCATGCTTACATTGATGAAGTATCTCGCAGCAATGCAAGCATCACATTACTGATGAACGTTGAGACAGAAACAGGATTCTTGGGCGGCCAAGCCGATCTCATTCGATTGGTCGTGCAGAAACTTTACAGCAGCCCTTCGACTACCTCTGAATTCACTAACCTATACCACGGCGATTACAAAGCAGTGGATGTATCTCTTGTGGGTGGAAAGCCAGTGGTCGACACGTAAGCGCACCCCTTAGGAACAGTGTAATCAGTGCACAGGCTGACAGTGTTTTTCCTAAGGTTTCTCGTCGAATGGACAATGGCTTTGAATGTTTTTGGCTGTCCTATATCAAGCTTGAACTGGCACAGAGACATCATAGCCAACAGAAATAAGGCAAAATCGGAATTCCATTCATGTGGCATCTGGACTAAAGCTTCATACGTCAATCATAGTTGTATCGGCAATGTTTCTAGGTCGTTCATTGGAGATATGATGATCATACGCGCAGCCAAGGATTTGGAAGCTGATACCGAATTGAAATTTCCCTGTGCAATTTCAGATGAAGCGACGAATATAGAGCAGAAGTTCAAAAATTGGGGATTCGTTTGCAGCTGCGCTCGCTGCGAAGATATCAAAAGCACCAAGGCTTCAGTGTTCGTCAATAGGCGAAACTTACAGGGGCAATTGAGGAATCTATGTGATTCGTTCTCAGACGTGTACGACATCCCAATAACAGAGATGGAACGATTGCTCAAGGCGCTCAGAGAGACCTACACGCTTCCAGCTGAATATGTACCCCGACTGTCGCTTTGGGAACCACAACTGCTACTTACCAGGATCTATATGGGCCGAGCTAATTTCACAAAGGGAATGGATTCTGTTGGTGATATTCTTAATTCATTGGGATTTATATTTGCTGGATTGGATGGCACTTTAATAGATTTCGAGCTTACGAGATGGGGTCAAATGGTGAACCATCTGGTAGAAGTCTTCCTACATGCACGCACGGGGTTTTCAAGGCTGGTATTGGAGAAGAAGTCAAATCAGGCGGAGTATTATGCAAAACTTGGATATCTATGTAGTACTGGTCGGAGAACATGCATCGTTTGATCAGACGTATCCTAGGTCATAGGACAGGTAATTAGCCGAGACTTCTAGGGCAAATGGACCATCATCGCTGCTATCTTGTGTTATTATTGTCATTTCATTACAGTTTATTTGCAGTTAGGGACTACACCTTCTTATATTCCGCCACCGCAGATCGTATGCAATGGCTAGGTTTAACTTTCTAAAATTGTAATTGGTTCAAAGTTGATGCATGCAATTGGTGCCCACCTGAGTTTTATTAATTATTGGATTCGCTGAGAGAAAAGAAACCGAGCCGGTTTCATCGCATGGTAGAATGGGAGTGAGCGGTTAGCCTGTCGCCATCGTTGGCGCACGACGCTGGCGGCACCGTGAGTACAGAAATGGATTAGCAACCTACAGATTATCGAACTGCCCACAACTCGAGACAGCGCCAAATCCTGCAGCTCCGTCGCAGCACAAACGCAAAGACCAATGGTCTCAACGATGAAGTTAAGATTGGGTCAGGTTGAAATTTGCGAGCGGCACAGTAGTCCGGCAATGTCTCGCACGCTGTGACCCTCCACATGTTACGTAGTCGGGAATAATTTGTTGGTGGCTGGTATGGCCTTGGAAATGCACACCTTGGGACACAGAACATGGATTCGAGCTGTTAGTCCACATCTTGATTGGTTGGAATGTGGCACGGTGGGAAGGATTGCGGCACAGCGGCTCAGGCTGAATGCTTCAAACTGCTTACGGGCCCGTGAGACGTTAGCAGTTTGTGGGCGTACTTGGAATCGTATTGCATGATGACACCAACCCCAGTCGTCTTGCACTTAGTGCTGACACTTACGATTCTCTTCCCTTCACTGCTCAATTATGACATACTCATGTTTGGATGCTGTATTGCGGTGAGGAATGGCGTTAAGTGGTGCCAAGTCATTCTGGTCATCGTGTATGTCACGTGACTGCGGCGTGGTTATTTGACGAACGCATACGACTCTACATGATCGTCGCAACAAGAACGCGCAACGCTAACGTAAAGCGTGTATTGGGACATCTCATGTTCGCAAATAATCGAAAATGGCTTAGCGCAACAACAATGACTCAATTTCCCCTAACAACTATGCATTGGCACACCTCGTGACACCTTATGACTGGTCTATAGCCCCGCAGCATGCATGATAGTACTTACCTAAAGTCACGAATCTAGTGACTCCTAATCCTCAGGCAAGGAGACCATGCGAAAAACATGATCAAAAGCTGGATTGGTGGTATCAGTGAGCCGAGAGATACCCTACAAAATATGGGAAAGGACAAAGCTCTTTCAATACATCGACCCATTGGATGATAACACAGCATTCGGACGCAGATGAGATCTGAATTGTGTTTCGCATTCCAGTTTATAGCAAGGACAGCTGAATGCTTCGCTGTATATTACACAACATACTTAATGGATCGCACACTCATTAAGCGCGCTAAGAATAAGTAGTTAACATACTTTCCTTGTTTCATCACTAAGGCTCATGGAACCTCGCCTACCAGCTAAAAGAGTTAGAACACGAAACATCCTACCGTTATCGACGATACCACTAGGGTCGTGCTGACTATAGCACATGGTGTCTTTCGAGTCAGACAACAGTAGCCCTTTGAGCCGTATGTAGGAAGTGTGAGAGATTGCACCTAGGGTTTTGCAACTCTCACTCAAAGAATTTATAGCTGGACGGAAAATCTTTTTGAACCAAAGGGCTGGCTTGCCAAGATGAACGTGTGAATTGTAGAACGAATAGTCAGGTAAGATACGAAAAAGACCATGCCCTTTTGTTACAGATAAACAGCAAACTCCCCGTTGCCAGAAAGATCCATAATTCAAGGGAACAAGTGTGACTCGCCACATAGGAGATCCAAAATGACAACGTTACTATGAGCAGACGCCTTGGCAGATTGGATCGGTTACGGTATCGGAACATCAGCTGCACAACCAATACCCATTCTCAGGCTCATCTTCTGTATAGAGAAAAGATCATTCAGAGTCACATGTCTACATATTTCTTTCCTTTCTTCTTATTCTTCTTCCCATATGAAACATTTGCTGACGAAGAATCCCATGAGTCAGACGTCGACTCACTCATAGGCCCAGCGAGATCCTCATCCTCGGGAGACTCAGATCCTCGTTCTGATTCTGCTTCGTGTTCTGTTGGCAAGGCCCGCTCAACATGGGCTTTGTCATGAGATATGCCAGCTTCTCCTGGTCCATCGTTGGTGACATCTCCATGAAGTTCTGTGCGAAGAAGGTTCAAAGACAGGTCTGACAAAGAATCTCTAGACCTATGTCGGAGGAGCAGTGTATTCGGTGTATCTATACAAGGCCAAAATTTAGTTTATACTTGCTCTAAATATAACATCTGCTGACAACATGGTTTGATGCTTACCTTGTAGCGTTTCTACCATGAATCTTTTACATGTCTCTAACCCCTGGACTAGTACGCCCAGTTGCGTTTCCAACTGGCTGCGCTCAGCTCGGCTCCCCTCGGACTCGCCTGCAATATCTGTCACCACATCAGAGGCAAGAGAGGTAACTCTGATCGGCGAAACGATATTGCTGAGTTTAGCGATGATATCTTTTTCTACAGCTTCAACAGCAATGTCGTCCACGAAGCGTTTAAGGGCGACCTAAGGGAACAACATATATGTTAACATACGGTTTTCTGAAGGGAATTCACCGAAATTTTGTGGTTAACGACATACTTTGTAGTAGGCCTGCATGCAGTCCAGCGCCTCGGAGCACGCATACTGATTCAAATCAGGGTTTCTATGCGCTACGAGTGCATCTAGCAACGGCCGATAGTCCATCTCTACGCATCGAGATTTTCCAGACGGGTAAAGTGAGCTAACGCCGAAGACGTCTTGGATGATGCGCGTGAGTTCTGCTGTGATTCTTTTCTCTCTGACTTGCTGCACCATCTCTGTGAAGTAGTGGTTGTAGGTGATGGGGTGCCCGCGCTGATGTGAAGCAAGCAGTTCTGTTGTCTTGCTTTTCACATCTTCCGAAATCCTCTCGAGTGCAGGTTCTACTAGGGTTTGAAATAATGCACCGCATGTAGAAATATCTGAAACATGGGAGGTGAGGTGTCTGAGAAAAGCCCGAACCGCACTTACAATTTGTACAATGTGAGCTTTCGCAAGCTCTTCCCAGGGTGATGACTGCTCGAAGAAGAGGTCTGATACTACCATGGGGTTGAAGGTGCCGGGGAGTTCGCGGCCGCGGGTACGGTTCATGAGGAACTCGATACGCTTAAGGAACTCTGACCGGCTAAGGATATTTTCCTTCGGTCTACTAGCTTGTAGAAGACTTGCGTCCGAAGAGTCGGTGATGACAAAGCGGTGTCCCTCGCGCGCCATTGTCTCTGAAAAAGACTGATTGAGGTTCTGTACCACAGCACGAATGCGTTTCTGATAGCCAACGTCAGTTTTCGCGTTACCGAAGAAGTCGTCGTTGTAGGTCCCGTCGACAGCGGCTTTGGTGAGGGCTTGGCATGCTTGGCTGAGGGTGATTAGATATTGGCGTTGTTCTTCGATACTAGCCCGAGGCTGGCCTAGCTTTTCGAGTCCAGTGCGACAAGCGGCAGACTTGAGTTCGATCTCATCCACAAGACTCGGGAGTTCCGCTGCGATCTGGACAAGAAGGAGTTTGCTCAGTCGCTCTCTCAATGGCACGATACCCAGGATAGATCCAGGCAGCGTGGGCCATATGCCGTTGGAAAAGAAATGACTTTCCTCCTCATCACGATTTGAACGTGTCCCGGATCCAGATTCCGAATCCATGTTCTTGAGAACGTGCCATCCAAGACGGAACTCCACATCAAGGTTTTTAGCGAGCGAGATGTACATGGCTTCACTGTCAGATCCTGGAACCAGAGTGTCAGGTTTGGTGATCACACCAAGCGTGCGAGTTCCGGTTCTGTCGGCAGCTCGGGCGAGCTTCAGCACAACCTGGTTGGCATAATCGTTCTTTGCAGATACAACCGCGAGGATGATGCTCCTGGGCTCTTTCATGTACGACTTGACGACATCTTGTACGAGTTCGATATCAGCTGCAGATTGCTGCTTTGTCTCTGAATGGATAAGGCCCGGCAAGTCTACAATCGTAAGATGCGGTCGGTCAGGACCCGACACTTCAACCCGTAAGAGATCTTTCGAAAAAGCTCGACCAAGACTTCCAATGGCCATGGCTGTTTTGGCATTCTCGATCAATGTTGGGAGTGCAGCGAAGCTGTCGAGCGTCTCGCGAAAACTGCTAAGAGATTCGCGCTCTACTTCACTACGCGAGCGATCTGGGACGATGGAGACGCTGACGCCGATCTTTGATGTCTTTCGTAAGACTAATTCGGTTGGGAAACGAGTACATAGGCTGCTCTTGACCGGAAAAGAGACACCGGAGATAGCTTCAAGGACAGAGCTTTTGCCGGAAGACTGATCGCCGCAAACGATGATCTGTGGCAGAGAGACATAATGGTCGATTCCCTGAGAGCGTAGACGATCTACAGAGTCGAGCAGGTCTAGTTGATCTTTTGAGCAGAGTTCACGAACGATACGGATGTCGAATGATTTGGTAACCATTGTGGATGTGAATGAAGATCTCGTACGATGCGCGCTTTATGTGTATGGTGGGTGAACTGAGGAAATGATTATTTCAAAGGTTTGGTCTCAGGGCCCAGCCCAACACAGAAAACTATTGAACCTCGAAGGTCGAAATGATAGGTGGAAACTAACAGTCATCAGATCTACCTTCTTAGCACAGAGTTAGAGCTAAACTCCCGCCTCTCATGTCTCAAAAAAAGCATAGGTTAGCCTTCGCCATCATGGGTAGGTCTGCTACCTCGTTGTATGCGGCATGCGAAGACATTGCCCCCTAGCCTATGGCCAACTCTCTGCATGGTTGATTGACGTGCATCAGTCTGGTAAGGGAGCTGCAAGCTGAACGTCGCACAAGCAAACTGTAGTCTGGTACTGGTGCACTGTGGACACCCGAACACAGCTAGGTGGGGACTGGGATCGGGTGCTAAGCAGTACACTTCGATCAACATCCGCATGTGCACAGTACCAATTGATAGTGCTGTCTTATTTGTGCTCTAATACTGCATGTTGCATTAATCCTAATCTTTTATTTGCTTTACGTACATCTTTTCTACGCCAGGTTGTGGAGCTCAACCATAAAGACGGCTGATGATAGATCAGATATGAGCCTATCCGCATTCCAGAGACTTTGATTGCGCTATATACGAGCCTTCCTTGTATGTAATTTACTTGAGAATGTGCGATAGGTGGAGCAAGCCACGTAGCTGGAAAGTGTCAGAGCAGCAGCGAATGGTAGGGGAAAGCCGAAGCGCTTACTATCTTTCTTTCTTTTTATGCAGCAGCTCCGGTATCCAGTTACTACAGTTCAGGGAATTGGAGGGATGAATTGTCCAAATGTTGCTGCCCTAGGCACTAGATATGAGTGGTTCGATCATGGCTTGATCGGTGAAGACTGTATGTAACTAGGTAGAAGTACTGCAGGAGTGAAGATGTGGAAATTGAGATGCAGCAAGGTATCAAGAGCAAGTAAAAAGCAAACTATAATCTCTTTGGTTTTTCTCAAAATTAAAATGTTGGCTAGGCTGCTGTTATAGAACAGTTTCATTGCCAGTGATCAATAGTCATCGGCTATCTGGCTATACTTGTGCTCAGTTGTACCGAACCACGAGAAGCTCGCTATGAAAACTGACTCGGAAGAAAATCGAAGTGCTCCTTGTATGCCTTGTCATGTGGGGAGAGCCTTTACACCAGTCTCGGCGCATATATGCATGACGTGGAGGCGCTGATGTAGTTGCATCACAATGCTGCCTTCCCATCACACTCAAAAAAGCGCCCTCATTACCTACTAAATACGAGGGTGGGAAGGCCCAAATAAACCCCGTCTACATGCAAAGAGCTGCTTAGTGTCGTGTATTTCCAACCCAACCTGTAGTTAACCCAAACTCATTATGTGCATACCTATCGCACGAGCGACTTCGTTTTAAATGGCTGAGATTCTCCTGCAGTGTCGCTTAGATGTAACTATGCTTCCGCGATTGGTCAGTATTAGTGGGGTAATGACCATTGTGCACTGCAAGCTAGCCCGCATCGGTAGATTACGATAGATGTGAACGATAACATTCCAAACAGTCATTAGCGTCACTCATCGCAGCGCAGCAAGCTGGCATGTAGTTCGTCTAACGTCACTATCAGCGAGATCTATTCGTCTCCAGCTGCTAATCTTTCCAATACAGGCTTCAGAAATCTGCCCCAGAAACCATCGAGGCCCTCGTCAAGGCCGTATTCTATGACGTTCCGCCACATCCTAAGCTGTTTAAAAGCACCTGACATACTACTAGTTGCGGCATTACCAAACTCTAGGATACGCACCGCTTCGCCTTGTCTAGAATCCATGTACGCGATATAGAAATACATCTCGTGTCCTACAATAGTAAAGCCTGGCTCTATAAGGTAGGTCGTGTCGGGCAGCCCCACACGTCGCCCTAGTTTCGCTTTCTTACGCAGATTCGCCGCCATCCATATACTAAGCTGATATTCGGCCTCAAGCTTGTCGCCGTCAGAGGGCTTGACCTCTACCCCAGAAAAGACAGCTGTAGTTTTGGTAAAGGCGTCAGTCGTATGGCTGATACACTGGTTTCTGTGCTGCAGAAGGCGTGCATATAGAGCTTCGAAAGGTGACGTGTCATGCGAGTAGGAGAGGGTATAATCAGCCTTTCGATCAAGGATGCGCTGCTTGCCAGATGCATCAGTAGCGCGCGATAGGAACTCAATATCAATGCTCTGAGACTGCCTACAATATCAAACACGTCAGCCTACTAGCACTTTTAAGCGGATTGGCTAAGGTCAAAATACACATTCTGCAAAGAGAGCTTGCCCTTTGCGTACAACCGGAGTGCCAGCTTCACCATCGGCCTAATTACGTTGTCGCACCATGCGTTTTCATCTCGGCCTCTTGTTTGGCAATGTAATGCTTTCTTATATATCTGTTTTACTTTCCTTAAGGTGTATTCTAACTCAGCACGGGCAGCAGAGTCAAGGCTAGGGTCAGAGAGATCGCGGGTGGCAGTGTTGCTAAATGCGATAGGCTTAAATCTTTGGAAACCGATATCTGTATCAGCTCTAACTAGTTCCTGAGATAAGTTAGCCAGATTTAGCAGTGACACAAGGCGGGTACGCACTTCCAGCCACCCCGGTATCCAGCCCTGATCCAGTCCGTTCTCGAGCCGCGCTACTACGGCCATGACCTGCGCAGGAGGTTCCGACTCCACCCCGTCCAGCGGTTCCGTCGTTATCGAAGGGGTTGCTACCCTCAGAGCAGCAATTGTCTCGCGCGATGGGCTATTACTGCGTCGTGGCGTCGAGGCGCCTACACGACTGCCGGGCGGGCTAAAAGTGGTTGAACTGCCCAAGATGAGCGGGCGGGCATTTGACCCAACAGCCGATACGCTCTGCTCCGGTCGCAAGTCGTCCGAGTCCCGTCGCTGACGTTTGCTAGGGCTGACGCCCCGATGTGTGGACATGGTGGTGAACTGGCGTACGCTTGTCGGCTCTGAAATGGCACGCTTGCGCTTCAGTAGCCCGCATTCTTCGTCTGCTGGGGGCGTCGGGGGTAGTTCTTCGAGCCAGGAGGAGATTTGCGTGCTCTTGTCGTTGATAGTAGAGAATGATGTCGGCGGCGACATGGCCATGGTAACGTGTGCAGCGATGAGAGTGGTGGGTTTCGTGAAAACAGTGTTGATTTGTTGTTGCTTGGCAGTTCTTGGCAAATAGGAGATCTTCCGCTGAGAGTGTTGCCGGGTCGGACGTAGCGTTCTTACGACTAGTTAATTCCGCCGCCACTGAAACACTACGAAGGAGCTCATTTTCAGTGATGCATCAGGCCCGTGCGCGAACTTCCAAGATTTGGTTACACACCTACAGAGAATATCGAAGTATCAACACTATCGCGATAGAAAAAATTGCTGAAATTCGTGAGGCTATTTACTTAGATATGAAACTGTATATTAATTAGTTTTTCAGTGTTACTACGACCCGTGGAAGTTGTTTTTTCTTTTATGCGCGATAATCCACCGCACCACCTCGCACCCAACACCGTCTAGCTATCTTTGACGTCAAATAGCGGGCCAATGAGCTGATTTGAATCAGTCAACTGCAGTTATGTGGGACACACCCACCTAGTTCATCTGAAAGTGCGAATCAGTACTGTACTATTGTCCCAAGCGCTAATGCGATTTGATACGTCATACCAAGTTGGTCCTTTCTTTAACTCACAGCAACACAAGAACCAAATGCTGGTCCGCCAGCTCCTTCATAAGCTAAGAATAGCTGCTCCACACTCGCCAGGGCTACGTAGGTGCTTCGGCCGGGTCATTTGTCATCATAAAACGGTAGAAAAGATCTTTTTATCTTGCAGAGAGGAAGATGACATAAGTGATAGCAAAAGCTTAGCCGGCTTCTAACACAGCAAGGCGCAGGTATCGTTATCAGGCTCAAGCTTTGCAGGCTGAATATAGCCCCTTATTTAGAAAGTGAGAGCGACTTGAACTACTTAGGATTCCGCGAGTGGTATGCCGAGAGTACAGCGGGTGGCGGGACCCACGATAACAGGTTTGAGATTGGGTCGGCAAGCTTGGTGTTCCGAACGCTGTCATCAACAGTACTTTAAACATAACTAGCGATCCTGTTAGGTAGAGAAGCGGCGGTAAACGAAATGCGCAGAATCGTCAGTAGTGTCACAAAGATTCCAGAAAGAATGAGCTATGGTGTCGCAAATCTGTGGAGCCCCCGATCATGGTTCAACCCCTCCTAGGTTGGAGGTTAGGGCATTGAACAGACTTGATGTATTCGATAATCATAATAGGTAACGATGAGTCATCTAGTTGCTCAGCAGCTCTATCGCCTCCATGGTCGTAATACTGTCCTAATGATAGGTTTGTAACCAGACTCGTAAACATATAGATATATGTTATTGTGTAGTAGCACGTGAATATATCAGTGTTAAATATCAGGATCTCCTTTTGGCATTCATAGGGATCTTCTTCATCCGCTCCAACATTGGCGACTGAAATTCAGTTTGATTTTTGATTGACTACTCGATTGTGGATTGGCCTTGACCTTTTGAGCTAGACCATGTACTATAACACAGTAAATGTAAAGCGTTTTATTTAAATTACTAATGGAAAGAATTCCTGAATATATCTGTTCGCGAAGGATCGATAGCATCATTTTTTGCTGGTGACAGGTGGTGATTCCGGCCAGACAGATCTGATGCTTCGCCGTCCAACGCGGTGGTGCGAGTAGACTTGGTTATGAATGTATTTAGATCGCATGTGAGTCATCAGGCGTCAGAGTAAGTAACGCCTTGGGTGTATCCTTCAAGCTCTCTATGTCTACAAGACTAGGCGGGGGACCCATGTTTTGACCTTGGTAGAAGGCTGCAAGCGCTAACAAGGTTGGCGCGACAGCATTGCTAAGTTTCCTCAAAAGTGGTCCCTGTTCTTTTTCTAACAGCGTAGCAAATTCAGCAAGATCGTGCATGTTGATATCAGAGAGCCTATTTTGGTCAGCCAGGTTTCTGGTGTTGTGAAACATAGCATACTCACATGCGATCTGTCAAAGAGACGCCAGGAAAGGACGGCCCAGAAGGTAGGAGGACTAATACACCGATTCCAAAGCGCTTTGTCAATATCTGCAATCGTTTTCCTAATTGTCGGAAACGTTTGACTTTGTCGTAAACCGCCGGGTACTCGTCAGACGTCTTTTCAACATCAGGGGCAATCTTGGAAGTCAAAAGCTTAATCTCAGCAGCTTCATGCCGCATCTGGGGATTGCCTCTTTGCCGTGTGTTTCCAAACCCAAAAGTCACTGCAGTTTCCACTTGCATGCTTTCGCGTGGCTGAGAAGACTGTTGTCCATCCTCAAGAAATTTTATCGCGTAATATCGTTTCAACAGGATGCACGTAGTCCTCTCATTTTCGAGTCGACATATCATGTTGAATGCCATCGAGGCAGTCGAAGAGAAATGGGACAATGAATCAGAGGAGCGCCGCGCTTCCCTAGCGCTTTGAAGTTGACTAGTAAAGTCGGCAAGCGTATCCCAGCTGCCGATTGCCAGATACAAAAACTTGAGTATATGATATGGGCCCTTGAGCGGAGCGGTCTGGGGATATTCCAGATGTCCTAGTAGTTTGGCGCGCTCTGGTTGTGAACATGGACCGATCTTCTGTCGCTCCGCATCTAGCAATGACTCTAGCGCTGCATCGACCCTACCTCTCTCTGTTTGGGCTCGTTTATTCTTCCTCTCCAACGATCTTGCATCCTGTGCTCCCAATGAGTCTCCAGGCTCTCGGCCGGGCAAAGCTCGTTTTGACGTTGCAGTGGTAGGTGCGCTGCTATCAACTTCCCCAGGCGGTATGGATTCTAAAACTCTTTCCTGCTCAACCGAGAGAATAGGTTGTACACGCATACCATGTATTCCAGCTGATAACGAGCAGGTGGTGTTTCCATGGTCATGATTTTGGTTAGAAGAATTCGCAGTGTCATGCTCTGAAAAAGGCTGTTGCTCTATAATGAACCACCGGGGCGACGATGGTTCAGTAACTAGGTCGTCATGTTCTTCCGAGACCGATAGTGGTGAAAACACAGTAAAGTCTTCGTATGTCTCAGGATTGGCTGAACGTTCTCTTATGTCCAAGTCGCTTACTACATTTCCCTCTGGTGTTTCGTGCGTTACTAGTCCTGGTGAAAAGATTGATGCGCTATTCTTAGCGACAAGAGACACATTTTGATCGCCGTTAGCGGCTGTCGATGCATTGAGGAAGCCATCAATTTGGCCCAAGATTCTTGAAACGGTGCTGCATGACTCGTTGACGCTTCTGTTCTGATCTTGACAGTCGCGCCAGACAGCACCGATCACGGCATTCAATGCGAAATTCAGCACTTCCGCGGAAAGCTCTTGCCCGTTCTGTCGAGCACTCCGGACGATACGGGACTCGATATCCAAAACTTTACATGCCGTCGCTACTTTCTTCTTGTCTTTCCACCAATATCTCCGACGATTGATGTCGGCTGTACGCATTATAGTGTGTTCACATGTTCTTTGGAAAGAGTGCTTACTTAGACGCGCTTTCTCAACTACAACAGCATATGAGGTTTCGGCCATATCAATAGCTATTTGCCCGATCCGAGCCATTCCCCTGTTTCCGTCACTCGCAATGCCGTCCTTTTCACTTCTATGAGCTGCGACAAAAGCACTCTCAAGGTGCTCATGGTGTGCGAAATTGTAGCCTAGCTTGCTTTGAATAGAGTCCATGATCATTCACAGTTGTCGAACGGTAGCCAAACTAAAGAAGTACGAGATCAAGTGGCTGGTAAGCTGCTCTTATATCAGTATTCCCTATGTCTTATAGCTTTCTATCCAAGCATACATGCTACACCATCTTTCGTACAATTGCCACAATGGCGCAGCAACGCCAGCCCAGTGCTAGACTTCCAAGTAGACAATATGCAAGCCATCGCATGATTATCTCTTGTAGCGAATAAATATCGGAAGGATTTTCGATGGTTGGCACATACCCAATAAGGTGGGGTTGCGGCACTACTGTTCGTAAGGGGCTGCATCGAGTTGCGTGCGTAGTCATGACTCATTGATGCTGTAATCGATTCCGTGCTCCATCAACACAGAGTTTTTCTAGTTCGTCGCTGAAACGATTGCTTTTAAGAGTTTTACCTGCTAGCTGCTAGCGTTGTTGATGCAGCAGGTGCAGATCGGGGGGTATCGCAGGAAAAGCAGCACAGCGAAGCGTATCGTGAGGCTGAAATGGACGACTCTAACTCGGGCAACCCAATCGTGTTCAAAGAATCTAGATCATACTTTCTGACCGATACATTCTTCGTGAAGCTCTCCAAAGCATTTACCCTATATAACACATAGTAAGTAGAATAGTAACTACCGCTGCTAACCTCGGCAATTGCGCCAAATGGCAAACGCAAAAACAGGAGTGAGTAGAGATGATTGCTTTTTCTCAACGTCGGAATGCTACTTGACAAATGAAGCTTTTCGCAGTGCAGCGCTCTGTACTTCCCAGATAGGCTGTCCCAACTCTAACAAGTCTGTGCCAAATTCTGACAAGACATGACCTACAATACCGTCGAATCTGGCCTGGTTATCCCTACACTCTGTATCACTTCCAAACGTTGCTATGTACCACTCCTCCTTCCAGGTTGTTATAGACGCTTGAAACAATGGGCTCTGCGTTTGGATTTGTTCAGCAACTACGTAGAATGAGGATCTGATTGCATGCTTTCTTTGCGGTTTGAACAGCTGCAATGACGAAAACTTTCTCAAAGTATACAGTAACAAGACTGTATCCCAAGCTTCGAGCTTATGTAGCAGAATCACAATTTTGCCGCTTTGCTTGACACGCTGAAGCGCCAGTACAAGTTGACTTGTTAGTAGCCGCCATGCCTCCCGTTTCTCGCGATACTCCGCTCTAGAATGCGTTCGCAGAACCTGGCCGTCGCAGAAGACAAGATCAAAAGCTTCGCCACAAAAAGGACGGTCGAACAGAAAGTTGTTAGCATCAGGATGTTCCGCCGGGATATTGGTAACGTCCATCTCGGCCGCCAGCATCGTGATATCGAGGAAGCGGACTCGTATCCTTGGGTCACTTTGCCAGTTAGGAAGTATCATCTCATGGCCACCCCGGGATACGGGAAGACTGATTCCGCATATCCTGGCATAGCAGTTTCTTTTGAAGACAGAGGCTGTGAAGCCGCCAGGCGCCATGCAAAGATCAAGGATGGCGGGGTTTGTGGTAAATGATGGCGTTGATGGCAGAGCTGAAGTCGCCTCGTGAAGCTCGTCGCCAATCTGGCACATCATGTTGTAGAATATGCGTCTTCCAGATTTATCTGCATTGTCTGCTCGATAACGCTGTACTTTAAAATGATCATCCCCTTGGGGATTCTCCCATCCCTGGGTGTGTGATCAGAACAGTACATAAACAACCCTTTAACGACACTTACCCTGCGCCGAAGATTTGTGAGCTCCCTGAATATGGCTGCATGCTTAATGCAGTAGTCTTTGATAGCTGAGTCGGGGCACGGGGTTGATGGCTCAATCGATAAGATTTTGTGACTCGAACCATTAGAAACCTCGCGTTGTAGCTGACTGCTAAACATCGCTTCTCTGAAGAGTGTTCAGTAACATTCGGCCCAAGAGTATGAAGATCGTAGACATCTTTGGCACTGGGAGTTTAAACATGACACGCGTTTGATCGCCGTTTTCTTTCCATACCTCACTTGCAGTTTGCATGATTATTTGGGAAGAAAACCAGCGCTTGGGTCTGATATGTGTTACTATGCTATTGGAGGTCCAGCAAGCCGCGGTTACACAACAGCATTTCGCATGCATCCATGGCGTGATCATCGTCGATGTAATACTCAGGTGATTTGTGAACATTGGTGACGCCAAGATGCAAACTGGAATACATCAAATTAGTGCGTAGATTTTCGGCTTATCTTGCAGTAGCGATGTGACAATAGATGCATGATACATACATATCTTGGTTATTTCTTTATACTGTCACGAAGGGCCAGCAAATGGACAGACTCAACGGTAACATGCTGTACGCCACATGCAAAATGTTCACATCATATGAATCATATCTTCAAATTACAACCGTTCCATGCCGAACAAAAGCTGCTGATCGTCGCCCAAGCTTCTCTTTGAGTGCAAGTCGCACCAGGACATATTTCACAAAAATAATAATTGTTTTATGTGAGGAAAGGTCATTTTTCAAATTCTTGTTGGAAGAAACGAACGGTGGCCTCACAAAGACTGTTATCTAAGATTCGTGCGTTTAGTGTAACAAACTCCATATCTAGTGTGCATAGAACTTTCTGTGATGTTAGCCATTTTCTCAACCTTCCGACCGATGGTCGACCATTCACACTTTGAAACATCAGCTGTGTATAAGGAGTTAAAACCCGTGAAAAGTTTTGCCGAATATCGGTTGTCATCGATAGCTGGATTCATTCAGTACATGCAATTGGGAGGTGATGGTGAGATCTCAATATACGCGGGAGCAGCGACCTCCGAATCAAGTCGGCGCTGAACAGAATACTACTCCAGACGGACTTGTACTAGTCCTTTGACTCTGGCGCATGGGTACTAGAAATAGTTGACGAAACGATCAAATGGATCTGGCACTTCAACCAAACAACAAGCGCGTAATCCAACTAAAAAACAATATAACATGATTCTATGAGACGTTGCCGTAATTGGTCTCGTAATCTACATACGTTCAAAAAGAAACAGGCTCCAAGCATGCGTTACTCGTATCTGTATTCAAAAGACGGCTTACCAGTGCTACCCGCTCCCCCAAGTCTTTGACAGCATTGGGTAGGACGCTGTATGAGATTCCATACTCCCTGAGCATAACAAAGAACGATTCATTCAATGCCTTCCACCCTGCAGTATCTTGATACGCCAACCTGACTTTGTCTGCGCTTAGCCACTCTGTGTTACCAGCCTCACAAACTATCACTGTTGCGTATTGCATTCTTAATCTCGAATTTTCCCACTCCTTCGTGCTCGCTAATGCTTTGAAGGCATCGGTTCCCGTGTATTGTTTCGCGTATACCAGCGTGTCTAGCGCTGATCGATCAGCCAAGAACCACCGGTCCTTCAGTTGTTCTTCAATTTGGTTCTGCCTTAGTAGAATGTGCGTCTGTAACTGAAGGCCTCGAACGCTATCATATAGGTCTCTTGCTTGAAATCCCTTCTCATGCATTATGACTCGAACGACTTCTTCGATGAAAAACGGCTGTTCGATACCGTGAGATGCTGGATCGCGGTCGGAGTAGAATGCCCTCAATGCGTTGAGAAGAGTCGTCTTCCCACTACACTGAGGTCCTATCAGGTAGAGGTTCGATTGTTTTGGAGTTCCGCTTCTATTATTGAGGGTTCCGAAACTTGTAGACATCATGATATCGGTGTTCTGGCAGGGTGGAATCATTAGCTCAGATTCACCATTTTATAACATTCAATCTGCGTAGGAAGCTATAGCATTGATAGTAACTTTACGTAATTGGCTTATTTAGAAGCGTATGACGTACTGCGCGTCTCGCAATATCACCCGACCTCCATTCTACCGGCCACTTGTTGGTCGCACGATCTTACCACTGTAGGTCTTGTTTATCTAGCCCGCATGTACCAGCTGACCTAGCCCAGTCGTATACTCCTCCACGGTCCCTGAAAGCCTTCTCATCCCAGTATACGCTTTGAAGTGCCTTTTCGACCCCAATGTCAAGGATTGATTCAGATGGCTGACGCCCGTCGCGGTCTAGAAATCTCAAGTACTCGTCGAGAATCAAATACGACTTGGCCATCATTTGGTTGGACTCTGGCACGAGTGATGTCTGGTTCGCATGTCGCCTGCAAAAGCTGTCGTATTCTTCATCAGTGATAGTGAACTTGCGGGCGTCTCGAAGTGTCTTCTCAGTGTCGTTTTCCCCTGCGACAATCAAGACTTGGAAACACTTCCAGCGAAAAGGCCGAAGCCGATCAATGTGCTTGTTCATATCTTCATTCCAATTGAGTCGGCATACCACAGAGTTGATCTTGAACTTGATGCCGTACTCCTTGCACCAGGAAGCAATCCGGTATAGCTGCGAGATCTGGTCGCCGGATCCACGGCCGATCTGAATGTTGGTAGACTCGTTGAACGAATCACATGAGACCGCCAATATGTCGATTTTGGAACCGCACTGCCGAAAGAAGCTTTCCTTGACAAGACTTCCATTTGTGACAATAGAAACCGACTCGAGTCGTAATTCGTCTTTGCAGAAGACCACCATCTCTGCCAGGAACTTTGGATAAAGGAACGGCTCCCCGCCAGCAAAGTTCAGTTTTCGCATGCCTGCTTCCTTGAGCAATGCAAGCCCTTTCTTTGCGTGATCAGAACTTTCCATGAAAGAGGAGGTGGCAGTGTGAAAGCAGAATCCACACGTTTTGTTGCAGCGCCTCGTAAAGTGATAGTTGACAGCTATAGGGCATACTGCGCGATGACTGTTGTAACGCAGATACATGGACATGATACCAAGTAGCAGAAGTCCAAAGTAGATTGAAACGGAGTCCATTGTCGGAGCGTGAACGAAGAACTAAAACGGAGGAAGTAAGTGGAATGCTGAAGATGTTCACTTGCTGCCAGAGAATGCAATGATGCCAATTGATGCTATTTAGCGATGACGTGGGTACAACCCCGCTTTTGGGAGGCATAAATGGAGGGCTGCGAACTCTCGTCGCTACACAGGGCTATCTCACCAGGCCGACATCCCTAGAAATTGCCATGGAGGCTACTGCAACAACTGTCGTATTCGTCATTGGTAAGTGTGTGAGATTCTGAGTACACGACTAAGGTTTACAGGAGCTCCTGGTTCTGGCAAAGGCACGCTGTGCCGAAGACTTTCTGACGAACATGGATTCTGTCACTTGTCTATTGGAGATACGTTGAGGAGACTTGTCTCGAACTCGATGACGGACCTAGTTACGGCATCTCAGGTACAAAGAGGCGAGCTCGTTTCCACAGAGGTGTTGGTCAGTATTCTCCAAGATAGCGTAAAGGACAGTGTATACAGCGACCGTCGCGTGATCCTGGTAGATGGTTTACCGAGGCAGTTAGATCAGGCTATGCCTGTGGAAGAGAAAGTTAGTGTGCCCAACTACTAATGCTCTCCCTCAGCATACTTACTTGGGAAGATTGGCTCACCAGCATTGGTCCTGTTCTTCAACTGTCGAGAAGAGGTCGCCAAAAATCGCTTTCTCACGCGAAAACTACTTGGAAGAGAAGCAGATAATGCAGTCGTCTTCCAGAAGAGATACGATGAGTTCACCGCGGAGAACTCCAAGGTTATAAAGATGTACCAGGAACGAAACCTTCTTATTGAGGTAAGGTTTATCGTGCAGTCCTTATTAATGCTAAGCGGCGGTCAGATTGACACCAACGGAGAGACGGATTTCTCGTACACAACCCTATCGAACCGTCTACATGATACTGATTTGGCACAATTTCTCAGAAAGACGACAGTGGGTGTATATCAAATCGATACTGGAAAGATACAATGTATGGAATAGGAGGCATATATGTTGGTCACGTGACGCCTACCAAGGGTTTCCTTTCCATGCAGCTAGAACCGGTTTTCTCAAAAATCAATACCACTAAGTTACCCAGCATTTCATCTACGCTTCAAGTTCTTCTTTTTGAATATTGCAGCCATAGATTCTAGCGTTTTCCATGTTTCGAAAAGCCATATCTCAAGCCTTTCTTCTGGAGGTGGAGCGCAAGTTTTGCCGGCTTGCAGTCCCAGATCTCATCCTTCATGTCGGGAACCCACCATTCCAGAGCATCCAGTCACACGGCCAGCGCATTTTCAAAGATACTTACTTCGACCGAGCTGGACTCCTCACAGCAGCAGGTGTGTGGGTCAGGCTACGCAACGGGCAATGGGAGGCCAAAGTGAGAAAGGGTGGCAGCTTCCAAAACTCAAGGTTCGAGGAGCTGACTGACCCTCGCGAAATCGGGATGCAAGTACGCACCATTACAGGACGAGTATGCAGCGAGCGCGAGTTTTACGGCCTCGATCGCATTGCGACCATGTGCACGACAAGAAGAACGTGGCTGGCGGACGAGAGGTTCTCGATCGTGCTAGACGCGATGGACTTTGGGCACGAGGTCGGCGAGGTCGAGCTGCAGTCCGAAGTGCATCTCACTCATACGGGCCAAGAGCTGGAGGACCACAAGCAAAGGGTAATGCAGCAGATGGACGAAGAGATTGTAGCTTTCATGGAACGATATCGGTGGGCGTTTGCTGCTGGTGTGCCAATAGGAAAGCTGACAGCATACTTTGAACGCCAGGCCGAAGGCAGGCTGTAGATATGAAGCAAGGCTGCATATTGAGTGACCGTTGATGCGCTAAGCTGTATTCGGTTATTTGCAAACATGACGTGTCGCAATACACGCTTTGCGTTAGCGTTGCAGGGTCTTTCTGTAGATGCAAAGAGACTGGCCGTAGCTCGTGTACATATGTACATGCAAGGATGAGATTTCAGATACTAGTTGGCTAAGTAGTGAGTTTCTTATTTTTCACTGTTCGAACTTTGCATGTTGCTATACATTGCAACAGCTGGTGCCAATCTTCTCACCGCGCTGTGCTCTAGTTTCTTTTGTATCCTGCTCAAACATGCACTCCGCTAGAGTTTACATCAACTAACAGCGTGTATCTGTTGTCGTATTTGTTGTGATTTCGTGTGTGAGGTTGTGGAATTCAACAGAGGTCATAATTTAACTCGACAAAGGACTCTCCGTCATTCATCTGCTTTGATTAAGGCATTGTGGACTCTGGGCTACTAAACCCAGGGGCTAGGTGTGTAACTTCTATATAGCTATCGCTTCAGTCCTCCCATCGCTTCTCTGAACGTTTCTAACCCTTTCTCCAGCATACTCTTCCTAGACTCCAGATGAAGACGCTGCTGCGTGATCTCAGGAGGCTCAGCGGCAACGAATTCCACCTCTTTCTCTGTCATCTGTGTCACAACCAGAGGGGAAAGGATGATATCAGGGAGGGGTGCAACCAGGTGGCGCTCAATGACAGCCTTGGTGATGGCGTTGACAAAGTACTTGATCTCGTCTTTGTAGAACGCACGCTCGGTATCGAGGGCTTCCTGGCTTGAGAAGACGTCCATGTCCAGCTCTATCGCTTTGTTCATGGCCTCTGTGAGCTTACCGGGGTCAACATGCTTACATAATTTGCCGTCGAGATTATAAATATTGACTTCTGAGGCTTCTGTGGCTTTCTTCATGATCTCCTGGTGCTTGCATTGACGCATCTTCTGTACAGTGGTGGTAAAGTAGTGGTTATAAGTAGCTGGGTGGCGAGCTTTGTCCACGAGAATCTTGTGCAGTTCTGCTTTCGCGTCAGAAAGGGCTTGAGCTAAAGCACCATCTACGTAGAGGGTAGTAAGCCTGTCCTTGAACTCAGATGGAGCGGCATCCTGGAGAACAGCATCGATGAACTCCTTGCAAGCACTCGCAATTGTGCTAACATGCTGAGAGGCGATCTGCTCCCATGGTTGGGACTGCTCCCAGAAAAGCTGTGATATCAGCATTGGCTGAAACGTTCCAGGAAGCTCATGGCCACGGGAACGCTCTAGGGTCTTCTTGACCCATTCGATGGCTTCTCCGCGTGTAAGTTTTTTGGGCTTAGGAAGGAGCATGAGCTCCGGACGTTCCTCGAGATCATCAAGCTCTTTCTGTGCTCTTACATCCTCTTCAATTTCTTGGTCTTCGTCACCGGGACCGACTCCAAATGTGTATTTGTGACCCCTTAAGCGCATATTGTTGGCGAAATTGATGTTGAGATGTTGAATCACGGCTCGAAAGCGGCGGATGTTCTCAGGCGCATCAACAGCTGCGTCCATATTGATTCGGCCAAAAAACGATGATTCGTAGTAGCCCTTGATAGCAGAATTCAGGATATCGCTGATGCGCATGCTGATCTTCATCAGAACCATACGCTGCTCATGACTAGTGTTGCGACTGTCGCCTAATTTTTCAATCTCTGCAATAGTACCTTGAAGCTTGCTGACCATTTCATCCTTCAAAGAAGGGAGCTCCTTGATCAAGTGATGGAGTAGCACCTTACTAAGACGCTCGCGCAAAGAGCCAATGCCAACGCACTCACGAGGCAGATCAGCATAACGACCCTTGCTAAAGAACAAGTCCTCGTCTGCATTGCGTTCCTCAAAGGAGAACTTCATCTGATTATCACCACGGTTCTTGAGCATGTGCCAACCCCGCTCTAGGTAAATATCCTTGTTCTGAGCCAACTCGATCCAGGTCAGCTCGTTGTCGGTGCCTTCACGGAGGAAGTCAGGCTTGGTGATGATGCCAAGGGTACGACGACCCTGCTCGTCGATCTTGCGGCAGTGGTCGAGGATGATTTGATTAGCGTAATCGTTCTTTGCGCTAACCACTGCCAGAATAATGGTACGAGGATTTCTCATGTACTCCTTAACCAGATTGAGGATCAGCTCTTTGTCGGTCTCGGTTTGTGCTTTGTTGGTAGCATGAATGAGACCTGGAAGATCGACAAGAGTTCTAGCCATTTTTTAGTAAACCTCTAGCATATCGCATGAATGACATACAATTGAGGCCTGGCTGGACCAGTGATCTCGACCGATAGCACATCACGAGAGAATGCCCTTGAATTGATACCACCTACTACTCCCAAACCCATTGCTTGTGTTGCCTCTTCGATCACATCTGGGAGCNGCCGCAGACTACAAGCTGGGGTAGTTCCACAATGCTACTGAGACCTGTACGTCGCAGCTTGTCTACGATATCCATAACTTTCCGCTGATCCGCAGACTGTAAAGCGTGCAGAGAGCTTGTAGTGACAGAATCCGGGTCGATAGGCACCGGCGTGATTGGCGTATCGACGCCTTCATATTCAGAATCGCTAGACATAGCGCTGGCCATATTAGTAGGCGAAATTCTTATGGAGTTTGGAGCAGATAATACTCGGATGTTGAAGTGACCTGAGAACGATAGTAGAACGAGTATCAGGGTTGACTAGATATGGATACAAAGGTTTTACGGTAGTGAAGGCTAAAGAAATAGACAAGCAGGCATTATGGGCGGAAGCAAACCTTGGCCTCTTGTAGTGGCCCGAGAATCTGGACGAAACCAATGAGACTCTCAGTTACTCTGCTTGACCCACCATCTGCCTCAAAAAGAAAAGAAAACGGATCAGTAACATCACATCCCAACGATTAGATAGAAGGCTTAAGAAACATGACCATCTTGCGGGATGGACCCCGCCATACCTGCTTCGCAGTTCTTGCATTCTTCTCGATCCATATATCTGCTAGTTTGCATAATGTACATGACCACATTTCATCATCTCGCATTTCTGTGATGAACTGAATCGTGGATCACGAGAAGATAGTTTATAGAATTAGATAATGCGAGCTAGATCACCTGATAAACTGAAGACAATGATCATCCATTCACCACCGCACATCGGGCCATGTGTCTTGACCTGCTGTGCGCCCTCTTGCACGTGACAGTCACACAGGGGACTTAAGGGAATTACGCTGAAGTAGAAAGCTGGGTAACTAAGTAACTAGTTACTCATGTGTGCTGACGCAATCTGACTAACCGTGACCGCTGTTTGATATATCTAGCATTTTCCAAATAGAACTAAGTAGGATTGAGTACATACGGGTGCCAAGCAGTGGATTTTGATCAAAACCTATACGTGTACATACAATACTGAATACTATGTAATGCCGTCTTATCTGTGCCCAACAACTGCATGTTGCATTAGTCCCAATCTTCTGTTCGCTTACGGGCATATTTTTCGCGCTATGTTAGGAATGCAGCTCAGTTATCGAGAAAACTAATGACAGACCAGATATGAGCCTACTTGTATTCTGCACAAGCATCGGCAGATTGTTCGATTTAGTCTAGGAATTGTGCACTTACTAGCTTCCCTACGAACTGTGAGCTGACTCTGGCATCTTTCTCCACTCTCTGCAGGTGCGAAGTTGCTGCCGAGCACTTGGCGATGCATACCACCCAAAGTCATGTAAACTTACCTTTTACTTGGTGAAGAGCCTGGCCATTATTATGTAAGTCAACCTCTCCAGGTGTGTGCATACAGGCATCTTCTGTTAACTTGATAGCTGCCTCACATAGGAACAGTAAAAGAAATAGAGATTGTTTCCCGCACCAGGAAAGTGGACGTATAGATGTTCTCATTTCAATATTGCGCTACCGAGGCGCTTCTCAGATGCCAAAATCAGCCTTGCATGTACGTAGTCACTTCACTTAATAATGCGTGAGGGGAGGAACAAGCCACCTAACTGGAGAGTGGTGGAGTAGCAGCAAGTGCGGGCTGTGAGTGGCCGCAGCTTGCGTTGGTGTCTAGGTCTGTGGCGCAAGGTTGAAAAACTCACCTTCTCCCTTTTTCTTTTTCTTTTTCTTTTTCTTTTTATGCAGCAGCTCTCGGTATCCAGTTACCATGGTCTTGTGGATTCGAGCGGCGAATTGTTCAAACGATGCGGTCTGCAGCTTTAGATAAGACTAGATGAATCGCGATATGAGTGGCGAGTACTGTATGTGATTGGGTAGAGGTGCACATGAGGGGATTAAAGACGTGACTATAAATTGAGATGCATCAAGGTTGGGAGAGGGGAGCAGCACACCGTGGTCGAGTAACTAGTTAGTGTATTTGATGTGCGTCGAGTCCGCATACTGTTGCCCATACTGGAAGCAGGCTGCAATCTCTCTTATCTGGCTATGTTCATGCCCTAGGTTTCCGCTCTGGCACTTCGTAGACCTAGTTCGTAGGGCTCCTAGAGATGACGGCTGGGTGTTTCGCATTCGAACTCTAACCCTAGCCCTACCGACGGTCCTGCGACGAACATGTAGCTGCGTGTGGGGGAAGCCGCAATCGCTAATGACTGTAAGAGCCACGCCACCATGTCGCATCTTGTACATATGTAGGGTGAACGATGCAGCCGCCAGCAGTAAACTTGGAAAACGTAAGTTGGTTGCCGGCAAGCAGTCGTGCTAATGCGGCACAGTTCATATCGTCCGCTGAGCCGACGTAGATACCCTTAGAAGTGCTTACGGTCGCGATCGAGTTACTATGTCGCGGTCAGCCTCGCCTATAGCGCAGGACGGTTGCAGCAGCCTTACGGCCCGGGTTTACCCTCTTCTGCACCGCAATCGCTGCTATTGGCCATTGCATACATACCGCTGGCCGTTCGCATAGCTAGCGAGTGTGGGAGAAGGAAGTTACAGCCACTCCAATATGGTCCACGTGTGAGTGGATTATCCTCCCTGCGTGCGTGTGCGCTGACGAATCAGCGCTGACGCTAGTAACTAGTACTTAGTATGCCTTGTCGACTGCGTAAGCACTGAGCTTATCTGTAGTTATTCGAATATTTGCGAACATGAGCTGTCGCAATACCCACATTAGGTTAGCATCGCTGTCTGTGAATGAATGAAGGTTCCTATTGTGTTAATTATATTCAAAGTATAGAAACGGCCGAAGACTTCGTCAAAACTTTGCGCGTGCCTGGCCCTGCTTTTTATGACTCGGGGTATAGTAAGAACTTTCACATCCAAGCTTATAGCAAATGGTGTCTTCACCACCAATAATAGAGATTTATATTTCAGTTCAACAAAAGACACTAGTAGCAGGTTTATTAAGGTTTATTTTACTCTGTGTAAGCGGCGATTTTAAACTACTCAACGCTATATGACAGGCTTTGAAGCTTCAATCACGACAGACAAATTCACTATTAGCAATAAGCATCTGTAATCGATCAGCAAAAACAGCTAGCAAGATGCATTGTCTTTTCAAATGCGCTGCCTTAGCCGTAATGCTAGCTCTGTATGGGATCCTAAGGCTAGCCGGTCTGTTGCCATCCCTTTTAAATATAGCTTAGAAGCTATTGGTATTAGTGCTAATGAAGACTTGTAATTATATATAGTTATAATCAGACTTACTAATATAATTAACAGAGAGCAGGAAAGTCGAGGTGTAGATCGCGCAGGTAGAGAATGACTGCGTGCATCTGTCCTTGTATACGGCTAGCGTCGAGGCACAACAAGAATTGAGCGACACAGACAATATCCTAGACCACTTGTATAGCATGGAGCTATCTAATTGAGGAGATTCATCAAAGTAGTGGCGTCAGATCGACGATAAGGGTTTCTTACCATTAAGTTCACGCTGTCGTTTCTTCAAGTCGATCCTCATGCATGTACTTCAATCCATTGAACAACTCTTGATAAAGACGACATGTGAATGTAGCCTAACATAAATTCGATCCAAGAAAGTGTGAAGCTTTCAAGTCTTTATGATAGTGCTGCGAGCGAGCTTAGTTCACCTTATCAAGACATAGCAGACTAACTTACTCGATGCCGAAAACAGGCAAGGACCAGCGCAGCTACATCACTCAGCTCGACTGAAGCTTGGGCTGGTGGGCAGTTTTTGTCTGTCACAAGATTCCAAGTTGTTAGAAGTCACGGGACTTAATAACCCGCGTTTGCATTCAGCTGCGGCTGTTGACTGGGCACTTCAACCAGCAAGAAGTGCCAGTGAAGGACCGCCATAGCCCACCGAAAGGACTGAATAAGGCTACTAACTTCAGGCACAGTAGTTGTTTGAGACTCCGCCAAACTGAGCAGTTTGAGCAAAGCAGATAAACTCTCCTATCACACACATGGGATCAAACCATAACTAATATAACAGTAGTAAGAATCAATACGAAAGGTAGACTACCACTGAATGATACGTATTAAGCATCGCTTCAGTCAGAGAACACGAGGACCCATTCTTCTCAGCTCGGGGAAACTGCGATAACAGCTGGGCCGATAAGCCGGAGTGGCTCAATGCAGACTATAGTCTTCAACTACCTCGTTGTTATTATTCCGACGTGCAAACACGCCACTTGGGTCATATAATCTACCTGTAATCGTTGCTAGAGCATGCTGGCGCTAAGGTTTATATGTTTGCCAGAGTCGCTGGACCCTAGTGCTAGGCGCAACAAGCAAGCGATAGACATATTGATTACCTGATTGGGCGTGGTACGAGCCAGAATGTGGTCTTTTTACGCCTGACGCGGTAATCAATCCGTCAATCGTTCGCTTATTGCAGACTGTGCAGGACAGGACCTTGTTACATGACACATTACCCGATACCTTAATGGCATTTTTGATTACGAGAGACTAGGTTTGTGGTTTCCTTTCATTTTGAATTAGGCTCAAGCAAGCTTCCGGGATCAGGAATAGCATGTAGCTCATACATACAGCAGTGTTTTCTTTGCATAACAAGTCTACATTGGCAGCTTCAACGCCTAAGCCCACATCTGCTTGAATTTACCATCAAACTCCCCCTTCAAACACAGAAATGCTTTTAGTACCTTTGGTAGGCGCATGTCTACATCATCCCATCCCTTCGTCTCATCATCCTCATCATCCCAAACTCCAATTGGAGCCCAGACGTTTGTTGAGGTTGAGTCATTGCCTTCCTGTCCTGCATTATCGTCGCTTCCGATTGTCGTGTTATCGTCCTTTGATTCTTCATGAACGTCACCACTGCCTTTCAGATCAGTTGCGTCTGCCTCGGATGGCGAGGAGGGTTTTATGAAGTTGGTCAAAGCTGTTATGATCGTTGCGAGGACGAGAGAGAAGTCTGGTTATTCGTTAGCAAACAATCATCGATGTTTTGGAGGAAACATACCGTTCAGGTGGAACCAGACATCGGACCTGCGGATCTTGTTTGCTTTCTCTAGGGCATTCAGATCGCCATGCTTGTAGAAGTCATACAAGTACGCGTTGAGTGGTACTGTAGATTCCGGATGGATCGGCAAGTATGGCACAACAGCTTCTTCCAGAAAGACACCAGAACGTACAGTACTACAGAGATCGGAGATACTATCAAATTCGTCGCCATGACTCGAAAGTGAGACGAAGTGGGAGCGAAGAACTGTGTGCTGATTCGCACCTGGGGTTATGTTGAATTGCTCGTCCGACTGACCAATTCGTATCCCACTCAGTGGCAACGTGTCATCCGGATCCTTTAGATGCTGATCAGCGAAAGTTTTGGCATAAGTGCGGAAGATTGCTAAGGTTTCGTTATTGTGAGCTCGGAGCGTCTTTTCCGCTTCCTTCGGCAACGGCGGTAGGAAGACGATTGAAGGCGACCGCTTCACGACCTCCTCGATAAACTCTCCATCGACGCGTTTGCATTGTTGCCGACCAAAGATGTGTGATAGTACAAGCATAATTGTTGAACAGGTTTGTTGGGGACTGGAATCGATGTCCTGGCAGAGATCATGGAAGTATCCCGAACTGAGGAGGACGTGAAAAGCCCAGGCGGAGTTCTCGGTGTAGTATAAGTGATTGACACACCCAGCAAAGTTGATCGGCGAACCATCAAGATCCAGCAAGGACTGGCGTCGAAGATATTCGATTGAGAAGCGAAGATGGTGTAGGACAGCCATTTTGGACTTGGGGGAGCCAAGGTAGAGTCGAGGCTGGGAAAGAATAGAGTTGATTGTACGAATTGCGAAGTCGGAGTTGCTTGAGCCATGAAGTAAAGTAGCTAGCCGCAATACGAGCGATGTTGTGATAGGAAAATGTCCGTTCAGATCTGGAAGTCTTGAGCTTATGAGACGGAACACTCTTTCAACAGGGATTCCAAGAAACAGGATATTCCCAAGTAGGTCAAACCCTCTTCGACCAGCTCGACCGGCACACTGGCGGAAGTTGAGCGCAGTAAGGAAAACAGAGTCTCCAGCGAAAACTACAGTTTTACAGGGCATATTGATGCCCAGCGCAAGAGTGCCTGTAGCAATTACAACTTGCAGGTAGCCCCTACGGAAAAGTATCTCCACCACTTGACGATATTTCCGATTCATACCTGCATGGTGGACGCCGATGCCTCGACTCAAAGCACTGATAAGCCATTCTGCGACACCTCGATCACGAAGTTGCTGCTTGTATATATTGAGCTCCGATTGCAACAGTTTATGCATGTTGGCGAAGTGGAAGCCATTGATCGGAGCACAAGGATTGAAACTATCCCACTTGGAATGCTCTGCAGACGCGGCTTCGCGTTCACTGTCCAATCTTGACACTCTCTCTTCGTCGTCCTTCTCTCTCCTGTTGTCGCCTCCGCGCTTAGCTTTCATTCTGGCTGTGCTCTTTCCATCCTTAGACTTGGTCTTGATCACTTCTTGGTCTTTCTTGAACCTTTCGAATGCCGCAAGTTTCTCTTTCCACGAGGTACTCGTGGCTTTCCAAGCTAATTCACTTATCTCCAGTTCTTTCATTACATCTTTCATAAGCTTTTCACACTGATTACGATCGTAATTGAAAACAATCGCCGGAAGGGCGTTCTTAGCATGCAGATCGACAAGCGCTGGGAGAATGATCGAAGAAAGGCTCTCTGTATTGACATTCCTGGCTTCAAAATTACCGCCAAAGATGTGTTTCGTGCTGAGAAGGTTGCGGGTGATGGGTTTGACCAGCGTTTTGCTTAGATCCTGCTGAACTTTCTCAAATGGCGAGCCCTCACAGTTCATCCATTCCAGCAGCTTAGCCTTCAGTTTTTTCTCCCATTCGAATATGTGGATCTTTTTAATCACATCCGGAAGTGCGTCGAGGCTGAGGTCCAGTGGAACAACATACTCCTTTGTTGCGTGCTTTTTCATCGTTTGCCAGAGCCAAAGACAGTCCCGAGCCTCCAGATGGAGATCCTTCGGTATTCCTCGAGATTTGTTATTCAAACTCGAGATAGGATGGACGAAATAAAAGGCTTCCATTCCGTCTAGGCCTGGCGTATGGATAGGAGAGCTTTCCGGTAGGCCTGTAAAGCAAAACTTCTTTGGAGGAGCGTAGATGAATTTACGTAAGTCGGAGTATCGGTGGTGGTGCTCAATTGTGACAAGTTTGTTCCCATTTGCTTTTTGAGTTGACCCAAGCCAGGTACTGAACTCCTCTGGATTTCCAACCGTTGCAGAGAGGGCTATGATAGGACAAGGTGACTGCAACAGCAACTGTTCCCAGATCACTCCATCTTCTGCCTGACCGATGCAATGGACTTCGTCGAATATTATCCGCTTGATACGGCAACTCCAAGAGTTTTCCTTTTCAGCATTCAAGGGAGCTAGCAACATAATCTGGAGGATGTGGGGCACGGTCACCAAGATCTGACATCCAGTAGCGTTGTTGATTCGATAGTCCCGTGTGTGAATTGCCCAAACCGATTTCCCCGGTCGTTTGAATGACTTGGAAAAACGTGCTTGAATTTCAGCGGCAATCTGATTAACAAGAGCTTTGGTCGGTGCAACGTAGACGATGACGCCATCGTCATCATTCGTGAGGACTTGCTTCATCGCATAGAAGGAGATGAACGTCTTGCCGGCACTAGTTGGTGCAACAACGAACAAAGAATGGTTCTCATCAATCGCGTCAAGAACCTTGCGCTGCCATGCATCGGGACGGAACGGAACACGTTCGTCTATAGCTGAGCCAATTTCCCTCTCAAGGTATGGTCCACAATGTTCCAACTGGAACATCTTTGCACCGCCTGGGATAGAGAATTTGTTACGGTCAATGGAGGCAGACACAGAAATTCTGGAGATCTTTGCCTCGTCGAATACGCAAGTGAATTCGAGTGGCCGACTGGTAGCCTCCGCCTCGTATTTGAGCGCAGGGAGTTTCAAGACCTTCAAGATCACCTCTAGGGAAGCCGAAATCTCTGGTGTCATTCCTGACCTCGTCTTCAGCAACTCCAGAAGTGTGTTCCAGATCAAAGCTGCAAAGTTTCCACCAGCTTCTACAGCTGTGCTGTTATAACGTTCCATCCAGATCCGAAGTAGGCAGTCTATTGTGTATAGCTCCACTTCTGGCTTAATCAAACTGTCATAACGTAATCTCATGGAGTAATCCCGGGCTGTGAGGTACCGAAGTTGCAGATTAGATTGACAACCGAGCTCCTTACACTTCACCTTCCAGTAAGCAGCGTCTATTTCTCCTTTGGATTGAGTCTTTGCTCTCTTGATAGCGGCTGCCGCCTCAAGAGCCATTGTCTTCCCACTCTTCTTCATCGGCTTGCTCGTTTTTTTGCCACCTTTAGAACTCCCTCCTTTCTCGAGCTGGTTCGAAAGACGGGATACATCCAGTACAAGAGCCTTTTGTGTTTTGGGTGGCTGTAGTCGCTGGTTCACAACGATAGTTTCAGGCTCCAAGACCTTCCCAGCTGCATTGGTAAGGCTGGCTGCATATGCATGCATTTCAGCCATATACAAATCATTCCGGCGGCGAGCAAAATAACCGAGCTTCTGTGTCGCTGTCTTCAATCCAAGAGCTTTTCTATGATTGTGCCAATGCGATAGTTCTTGGAAAACTTTGGCATTGTCATGTGTTGCCTCGTTTGAGCATCTTTCATCCAGCTTCAGGCTGACAGGAGCAAGGTGCTTATCGAAGATAGCATTCTTGAAAGGGAGAACAGTCTGGTCATTGCTAGGAACTGAGTAGCGATACCGGACCGAGTCTTTGGAAGCCTGATAATCGGTGATCATACTGATAGGTATTATCCCATCAAAACCATTCTTGGAGGCCTCAACGAATGTATCAAGCAGGCTGTTGTATTTCTTCTTGACAGCTTTGTTGGCTAGTAGCGTATGGCGAAAGCAGCCATCGCGGATTAGAGCAGCAAGCAAGAACCCATCGAGGAGATCTGCAAGATTGACTGGGAGATTCAGAACATCGAGCTGCTCAGACAGTTCTTTGTTGCAGAGTAGGGAAGCTGCAGTTTGTGCGAATGAACAAATGAGGGTCTGAGCAGTGTTGTTTGTGGTAGTTGACGGCCTCCGGTTTGCAAGCGGGAAGTACTGAAGTGCAGCAGTATGTAGGAGGAAGGCTGAGGCTTCGTCACCAGATATTGTGCCATGCTGCATCGCTGTACGAAGGACGAGAACAGTAACCACGTCTCTTTCCGACGGCTCAAAAATCCCTCCCAAATTTTCCAATGCAGGGCTCTTGATGGATGGTACATTATGAAAAGCTGCGGCGTAACAAAATCGGTCAAACCCCTTCTGATCCTGTTGTCGTGAGGACTCTAAAATCACAATCATTGCCTAGGACATAGTTAGAACAATACACGACGCGACAATAAAACTGGAAGACTTGCCTTACTGTCTGCGCATTGTAGCTCATTGATCAGGGCAACATTGTACCGATTACTCATGAACCAAAGAATCATAGCTCTAAGGTTAACTTTATGAAGGTGTCCAGCAGATGGAGAAGAAGCTGAGTTTTTCGTTTCACGCAGAAACATTCGATCTCCCTCGCATGCCTTGAGATCTTGGCCGCTATCTGAACGTAGTGCCGCCGAATTTGATTTTGCGGCGTCTGGCATGGCGCCATCGTGACACATGACGAAGTAAGTGCCACTTTCATTGAGGTACTTCACAAACTCATCATCTGTAAATGAATTAAACCGTTTAAACATGATTCTCTTGTCCGAACTCAAGTTGCGTGCCAGATGCCTGAAGATAACCGATCGCGCCAGCGCATACTTAGGCCAATCTGTTCGACCTGCATTTGGCGGGACACAAAGCTCTTCATTCTGGTCAAAGCAGACAACCCGGAACCGACATTTCCTTGAGAGCAAGTCTTGGAGGAACTTCTCTACGATGTATACCGCGTGGAGCAGTTGAAAGCCATCTGGTCAATGCATAAACGCTATGGTCAAATTTTAGTGGAGGCAACTCCTAGTACTTACTACCGAAGTTAAGCTTTGGATTGGAAAAGCATTGAAGTAGGAGCGAATCGAATTCAACAAGGAACATTTCGCTGCCCGCGTAGTCGCCAATAAGATCTACACGACGGGAGGAAATGGATTTGTACCAGGCCAAGACAGCGTCCTTTTCCGAATCACGTCCCATAGTAGCGCAGAAGAGGAGAGGTCGATAGAGGGTTTGGTTCATCTGTAAGTCTCAGAAGTTATGCTTATTGCTTGAGCGCAAGCACACCGCAACTGTTGTGTAACCCAGCGTATCAGAATGTCATGCAAGGCAAACGTCAGGACATGCACGTGGCGATACATCAACAATGGACCGCTTGGGAGGTTCGGCAGGGCCTATCGAACGCCAAAATCAAAGCTACTAGCGCAACATTGCCTCGGGATAATGCAGCCACAATACGTTGCACCTACTCCTTGAATGTTCACGAGCGCTCACTAGCTCCCCCATCAAACTAGGTCCTGAGCTAAGCCTACACTTATCAATGGCTTTCCGCTGGAATCCCACACTCCGAAGCACAAATGCGTGATGCTACACTATTCATGCCTGACACAGCCCTTGTCGTGTTCGCATCGATTCCAACCCACCTACTGACGGAACTTTTGGGAGTTAGCATGCGTGGAGAAGCTAGTATTATATGTTTAACTATTCTTATTTTGCACCGGCGTACCTCGTGAATCACTATCCTAACAAGGTTTAATTCAGAGAGTGAAAGATCTCACATCCGAATCGTATCGGTTCGCTGGACGAATGACAGTGGTATGCGAACGCAAAGCTGAACGCTTAACAATGTAGATTTATGGGAAGCATGCAGACGTACCTTTGGTATCGTGGTACAAGAGCCTTGTCACCCACTGCATTACTCTCTCTATGCACAAGTGCACAAGCTAAGCTCGTATCCACTCCGCAATCCGCCTTCTACAGCACCAATGAAGGATATACCAAGTCTTCTACAGTTACAACCTAGCCGGCATTATCCAAGCTTTCAGCAAAGCCATAACTCTCATTAGAACGAATCACTGGCGGTTGAATATCAGCCAGTTGATGTACATGGCTCTCAACACGCAACTTGCGCTGCATATCGGCCACGTGTTGACATAATTCACCTGGATATGTGCAGTAGGCAGAGCAAGCCTGCTAGCTGGAACATGTCAAAGTACATTGAAATGTGAGCTGTGATTGGTGATAGCTTGCGCTAGGACTCAGGTCAAGGGAAAGGCTAAGATGCATGCCGTACCTCCATTTGCTCTCATGCAGTAGGCTCTTCGTACCAAGTTACTACAGTTCTAGAGATTAGAGCAACGGGCTGATCATATGATGCAATCCTCAGCTCCAGACAAGAGTGGTTTGATCGTGACATGACCAGTGAAAACTGCATGTTGCTGAGTAGAGGTATTGCGGTGGAAATTGGGATGCAGCAAGGTTGGATGAATGGAGCGGCACACCATCAGATGGTGCACTTAATATACACAAGGTTCGCATATTGTTGCAGGCAACAAGGTATCAAGAGCAAGTAAAAGCTAATCCGTAGTCTTACTGGTTACTCTCGATGGAGCTCCGTACCTTGAACTGACAAGTGAGTTGGGCTGCTCCTGCAGAGCATTTTCATTGCCAGTGATATCGGCTATCTAGCTACGCTTGTGTTTGGGCGTCAGTATTGGCCATTGATTGTGGAAGAATAAAGCTACAGCCACCCTCTCAGATGACTCACTGGAGGAAATTATCCTCTTAGCGTATGCACTGACGCTAAGCCTTATCTGTCAGACAGTGAGCTTATCTGTATTCGACTATTTGCGAACATGGGCTGTCGCAATACCCACATTAGGTTAGCATCACATAATGCCACATTTCGGATCAAAGCGCTGCTGTCCCTCCCAAAGGCCCTTGTTAGAAGCGAGTAAGAATGTTGAGAGGAAGTGGCGACCAAAGACCTGACATGTTCCCTATCCTAACGCTCGCAGCATATGATCATCATCAGAGCTTACGTGCTACCATTTATCACCTTCCAGATAGAGACTAGCCCTAGAAAGGACGAACTGTAGGCAGGCTTTCCTCGTCTTGTTACAGCTTTGAATTGGCAGTGGCCCTATCATGCCTACATGCCCTCATAAGTAGTTAGCTAGTCATGATTGTGATAATATCGCAAGGTGCTCGTCCCACGTCTGGCTGGTTCTTGCTGTGAAAAATCGCTAAGTAGATGGCTATCATCGCATCTACGTGCATGTAAGCGCGTCTAGTATCTGTAATTTCAGCTCTAATTAGGCTGTACTGAACTGGACATATTGTGTGTAATATAGCGACTAAGCTTACAAAACCATATCTACGTTCTCTGAGACGTGCAGAAAGCCACTTATGCGCGAACGCGTGATCTGCGGTATTTTCTTACACTTTTTGAAGAGCTTCGGCGCGACTGGCGTAGATGGACTGAGAATGGATGCACTCATATTGAAAAGAGTTGAGTTTAGCTATGTGGCGACAATGTCTTTTGACGATTTGCTCGATGGAGAATTGATGGTGCCCTTTCATGTCGCGGAAGAGCGCATCTTCTGCGTATATATGCACAAATTTCCTGCTCTTACATATGATGGATGGTAATTCACATGGTTAAAACAATGAGTCTTTCGAAAACGTCAACGAAAGTTGTACCTGCCCCACCTCTCCAAGCTTACTTACTAATCTATTCCAGGGCAAGCTTTTCGAAAGACCTATCGAGACCGCGCTCCGTTGATGACAATGCAAGGGTAGAATGTTCGCATGATGCATCTCATCTTTTTGACCGTTTCAGGTTAGCGTGAGCATAATGCTTAACCCTAGTCTTGACTTTATCAACATTCAAAAGCGACCATGCTTGACAACAAAAGCTGGAAAGTTTTGTTTCACATATAACTTATCCAAGTTATTATTTCATGACAGTATCCATAGTCTGCATCATGCTCGATGTCGTATAGTAGTTATTGGAGTACTTATCATCAAGATTTTAAATGCGGGCAGTTTCGCCATGTCGAGAAGAAGACACTGAGAGGCTTCCCATGGCGGCGAGAGGCCGGGGATCGTATCAAGTTGGTGACATAGCACCGTAGTGTATGTCGCCGTATTACACACCGCGCGAAGTCAACTTGAACCCATAATATGTATTGCGAGATTGCTTATCGAAGTGTTGATTACTAGCCCTATCCCTAGTAAGCTGCACTTCTTTTCCAAACAGACACATTTGAATCAACTTACAGTAGTTAGCTTACGCGAGTAGTAGATTTGCACA